ATGATGAGGAAAAACAAATCTGTTGTAATAGATGTACTCGTCAAGTTTAATGTAAGTTTGACCATACTTTTAGTTGTAAGATTAAATAAATAATTTATAGTTAACAGATTGTGATTGCTCTGGCAGAACAAATAAAGTTGTTCTCATTTTAAAGAATGATACTTTCTCATACTTCAGTGCTGCACCACTAATACTTAATACAATAGATACTTGTTATGGTGTTGCAACTTTAATATTGCCACCTTGTATCAGCTTTGAGTCTGAAATAATTCTCAAAAATGAAGTTGGGAGTAATGATGGGAAAGAAATGTTTATAGGTATGTTCCTAATAAATTGTCAAATGTATTAATGAATGACACCAAAGTTTATGAATATTGTTTTTAGAATAACACTTAAAATTAATTTTTAACAGATATGACTCCATTGAAAGATGCCATTTATACTAATGGATCTATTATATGTTATTTTACTGATGAGGTTATGATTGCTAATAACTACTCAACTGGTTGTGTAGTATATTATGCTAATATGGGTCAACCAGCGTATGGCATGAGGGATAATGATACATCTACGACTGCTATAGTTAATACTACTGATATCAAATCTACTGAATATTATGTGATGCCTGTACCTTTGGATTCAATCTATATAAACGTTGAAGCAGGTGAGTTTTTTGCTTTGTCTAAATTTAGAAAGTTTTCTCCTATACAGGAAGTAGTAGTCCTGTACATATTAATTGTACAAGTACTGGTATCAATTTTGAACCTAAAGAACTCGTTATGGCTGCAGGTAATGTTCTTTTTAATGTCATTATTCTACTATACTCTTGAACTTTATGTAGTGGCCATTTTGATTGCAATATTAATTGCATTTGTGCTTGGAACAATAATTGGATGTGTTTGTAAAAAAGTTGAAGTGAACAACAATGTACAAATTCAAGGTGTACATATGAGTCCAAATAAAGACAGCATACATAGTAGTCCTGAACAACTCAGAAATTCAGGTGAAGACAGCATACATAGTAGTCCTGGACAACTCAGAAATTCAGGAGAAAACAGCATGCATAGTAGTCCTGGACAATTTAGAAATTCAGGTGAAGAAAGCATGCATAGTAGTCCTGGACAACTCGGAAATTCAGGAGAAAACAGCATGCATAGTAGCCCTGGACAATTTAGAAATTCAGGTGAAGACAGCATGCATAGTAGTCCTGGACAACTCGGAAATTCAGGAGAAAACAGCATGCATAGTAGTCCTGGACAATTTAGAAATTCAGGTGAAGACAGCATGCATAGTAGTCCTGGACAACTCGGAAATTCAGGAGAAAACAGCATGCATAGTAGCCCTGGACAATTTAGAAATTCAGGTGAAGACAGCATGCATAGTAGTCCTGGACAACTCAGAAATTCAGGAGAAAACAGCATGCATAGTAGTCCTGGACAATTTAGAAATTCAGGTGAAGACAGCATGCATAGTAGTCCTGGACAACTCGGAAATTCAGGAGAAAACAGCATGCATAGTAGTCCAGAACAACTCAGAAATTTAGGTACAGATGGCATGAATGAATACAGTGTACATAACAGCATAAGTGAAGATTGTGATCAAGATGGTGATTCTGTATATACTCAAGGTTTTGAAGCTCAAAAAGCATCAGCTATACACTATGTCACTGGTCAGATATCTGAACAGTTAGTCATTATAATAATTACAATAAAAATTTTGCACTCTATTAAATAGGGATCAGCAAACTGCTACTAGCTATTCAACTGCTTTAGGTGGACATGCATCTGAAGTTGAGGGACTCCTTGCTGAAGAAGTTGAGATGGATCAAATCGGACACGGAACTAATAATAACTAATGTTACTGACTTAATTAAAAAATTAATACTTGTTTTAATAAATTAATACAATTTTTGAAAAA